TCCCCTCCCGTCCCCTCCCCTCCCCTCCCATTCAACCGAACCGAACCGAACCCGACCGAACCGGACCAGTCCGAATCGAATCAGACCGCACCGAAGAGAAAATACAATCAAATTCCATACTTAATAATCACCCATTCCAAGTTCCCACTCCTTCCAATCCATTTCATATTTCATATATTTCAGAATTCAAATTCATGATGCCTGTCCAATCCACACAGTCGAATCGGACAGGTCACGTCAGACCAGTCAACAGCTTAATTGAGTCAAACATTCCGCAAACCAATCAGTTAGCCATCAGTGATCCTTCTTCTTCTTCTTCTTCTTCTTCCTTTTTTTTTTTTTTTTTTTTTTGGCGATCCTACCCATCCCTCCAGTTACGAGTCACCCACCGATCCAGTCCTCAAGGAACGGACCAATCAACCAACCAAGCGACCGATGCCTCAACCAATCAATCAAGTTGAATCAACCAATCAAGCGACCGATGCCTCAACCAATCAATCAAGTTAATCAACCAATCAAGCGACCGATGCCTCAACCAATCAATCAACCAATCAAGCGACCGATGCCTCAACCAATCAAGCACCCAATTAATCAGCCTGCCTGCTGCTGAACTTCGGACTAGCTTCGGCACAATTTGGCAAGTGACAAGTATATATAAGCGTATAGAAATTTCATTGCATGGACACTCCAGCTACGTTGCATCCAATCCTCATGAACGTTTTTTTTTTTTTTTTTTTTTTCCCCACGGAAAGTAGTTATCGGTTAGGTTCGTCAAACGGTAGATACTTTCCCCTCCTCTTTTCATATAAACGATTTTTTTTTTTTTTTTTCATTAATTTAGTACTTGGCAATTTGCATCCCACCCCTACCCCTCCTATAGATCTAAGGTCCTCAGAATTCTTAATCAGCAAGCACACTGTGGATCGAACAATCCAAGCTTCAGGCAATCGGCAGGAAACCCAAGTAAGTTCGAATGAAATCGAACCTCCAATATGAGACACTTTGATAACTATAGGTGACCTTATGAATGTGGCCTCAAAGTGTCTCATATTGGAGGTTCGATTTCATTCGTAAACTGACAGTTTTTCCGGACAACTTTCTTTTTTTTTTTTTTTTTCTATTTGACATTACTGATGATTACTCTATTAGTTTTTTTTTTTTTTTTTTTTTTTTTTTTTTTTCCGTTCCCCCTGCCGTCGTCTTGGCTACCTTCCTCACCCTAATACAATGTACCCTGCATTGTAAAGTCATTATTTAATATTTATTGCTGTATTTGGGGTACCGTTCAGTCCAAATACAGCAATAACAACTGTGCGTTGTATTCGGGTGGTGCAGGTACTGAAAATAATAAAATACATCCGTCATCTCGTTAAACATTAAAATTTAATTAAAATTTAATTTAAAACTTATAAAATTTTAAAAATATAAAAAATTAATAATTGAATTTTATTATTTAACTCATTAGTTGTCCGTTGACTAATTGTCAACATCGTCAGTTCTAATTTCCTTAATTTCCTTAATTCAATATTTGACTCTTAGCTTACGAGGGCCGCACTGCCTGGGCCACAAGGGCGAGAACCTGGATGGGGGGCGACCACGTGCGGGGCACAAAAAGAAAGGTGCCTTTTTTTTTTTTGTTTTCCTTTGGCAGTGGGGCAATTTTGGGCCCACTGAGATGTGCCCAAATCTGGCCTTATCTTTGATCCTATTTTTGATCCTAATTGCGCCCAATTTTGCGCCCACTGAGAGGCCCAATATCAACCTCTAACCTATCTGTTCAAACTTCAAAGCAAAGATACATTATCAGGAAAGGTTGTTGAGCTCTCTCTGATCCTACCTGCAGTGGCTGCGGGATAAATGCAAAATTTATGAATTGGAACGGAACCCACAGCTTCCAGTTGGCAATAAGGGTATTTACGAAATCCTGGACAAGGACGGTGGGGCAGACAGCAGCAGCAACCACCACCACCACCACCACCAACAACAACAACAACAACAACAACAACAACAACAACAACAACAACAACAACAACCAGAAGAACAAACAAGAACAGCAACCAACAAAGAAGAAGAAGAAGAAGAAGAAGAAGAAGAAGAAGAAGAAGAAGAAGAAGAAGAAGAAGAAGAAGAAGAAGAAGAAGAAGAAGAAGAGGAAGAAGAAGAGGAAGAAGAAGAAGAAGAAGAAACAAGAAGAAGGAAGAAGAAGAAGAAGAAGAAGAAGAAGAAGAAGAAGAAGAAGAAGAAGAAGAAGAAGAAGAAGAAGAAGAACAACAACAACAACACAAGACAAGAAGAACATAACCAACAAGAACAACAAAGAAGAGCATAACCAACAAGAACAACAAGAAGAGAAAAAACAACATTGCATCATTGCCTTCAGTCATTTTAATTTACGTTTCACTGCACAGTCAAAATCACAAAAAAGAAAGAGAAAGAACACGTAGAGTGCGAGATCATAAGAAAAAGGAAGAGCAAAAAAAAAAAAGAGAGATGACAGCAGTAAACACACTTGGCTGTTTGCTAATTGCAGACCAAGCCAGTTTTCTATATAGACCACAACCACAACGAGAACAACGAGAACAACGAGAACAACAAGAATCAACAGCAAAAACAACAAGAACAGCAAAAACTGCATAGCATCATTGACTCCAATACTTTGAATTTACTTTTTGTTGCACGGTCGAAATCACAACAAAATTTAAAAAAGAAAGAGAAAGAACACCGAGAGTCCAAGATCATAAGAAAAAGGAGGAGCAAAAAAAAAAAAGGAGACGAAGACGACAGGAAATACTTGGGCTTTTTGCTAATTGCAGACCAAGCCACTTTTATTCACTGTCATAAGACTCGTAACTGTGTTGTTAAAAAAGATAAGCTGACCCGATCACTGCTGCCCTATTACTCGAGAGTCGAGAGTCAAAACACCAAAGAAGTGTTCTTTCTTTTTTTTTTTTTTTGGTGGGGGGGGGGGGGGGGGGGGGGGGGGACATAATAAAGAACAATATCATTTTGAGGGCGTACTCACATTAGCACTATCTTAAATGTATCTGAGCGCATGTATGACTGCACCTGGATGCATCTGGCCGCAATTCCGTCCAGAAATAAGTAAAAAGTCTTAGAGTGAGTATGCCCTCAGTAGAAGGCAAAATAGTAAAAAAAACTTAAAAAAAACTAATTCGTAACTTCTCTTTTTTGTAAGTTTTTTCTTCCTTTCTTTTTTTTTTTTTTTTTTTTTTTTTTTTAAGGCTACATAACTTCACAATATACGTAATCATTGAGAGATTGTAGGATTCGTACCCATTCCTACCGTCTTCCCCTAAACAGAAAGTACGGTCATTTTATCTGTATTTGACCCAATGTTCAGTCCAGATGCAGCGAAAATGACGGTACATTCTATTCGGGTGAAGTCAGTATTAACCGTTAAGGCTTTACGTCTATATATACGAACCTCATCATCTTCTCGATAATACAAGACAACAAAGGTTGGTACGCCTGTTTCGACCACGCTGTGGTCATGAATCCAGCAAGAATTCATTCACTTCCATGAATTCGGTCGTGAATTAAATAATTGTGGTCATATGAATGTAGTTACATCAACTTTAAAAAAAAAGTGAAGTAAAAAAAAAAAAAAAAAGTTGAAATTCATGATGCTCAGTCAAAAGTCTGATGGGCCATTCGGACAACAGTGCTCTGTTCTGAATTAGTGGGTCGATAACCCCTAGGCCCCCGTCGCACTTTTTCTCAGTTATCTTCCACCAATATCGGAATCAGCTTTCCATATGAATCTAGAAAGGAGCTGACGGATCAGTTGTGCAGAAGCTTGTCACAGTCAGTTCCCTAAAGGATAGGATATACCATATCGTCGAGAGAATACACACATTAGAGACCGCTGCATGGCCTAAGACGGATAAATATTTCTTCTTCGACCATTTTGCACAGGCGCCCCCGATTCGGTGGTCTACTACTGCGTCTCGGGCTTCACTGCAGTCTGCGAAGGAGACAAGAATGCTTAGGTACCGCTCCGAGTCGGTATTGGTCAGCGTTCTGCTACCCAAATCCGCGGCTAGTTGTTCCCCATTGGGGCGTTAAGGCGATTGATTTATTCCAGCTCACTTTCATTTCTGAGGCTGTTTCACAGACTGTAATGCATTGTTGCTTCAGGGCATTGAATGACTCCGGAGAATTTTCGGAGATCGCAGAGAAGTCGTCTGCTTGAGCGTCCTCTATACTGGGGGTGCGTTCTAACCATGTTGAGGAAGACTTCCATCTGGATAACAAAAAGTGCGGGTGCTAAAGGGAACCCTTGGCGTAGTGAGCGGGAGACTGTGAAAGGAGCAGAAGTGAATCCGTTAACCAGCACTTTGCCCTGTGAAACGCTATACAAGGATCGCAACCATTTAATAAAGTTGGGTCCCACTCCGAGACCCCTGACAGCGTCTCTTGCACGGAATTCCTATTTACCCTATCATACGCTTTCTCAAAATCTATCAAATCACTGTGGTTACAGTGCGGTATATGTTGCCATGGTTTTGACCAAAATTTTACTTGCCACATTCAAAAGGGATATTGGCCGCCAATTACGAACGTCTCTCTTATCCGGGTTAGGACGTCTCTCTTATCCGGGTTATCCCCCTTTTTGTAGAGCAGGGTAATGATTCCTTCCGTAGTTCGGCTGCCCAGTTTACTACCGTCGAGGATGCTGTTAAAAACCCTTGCCATGCCGGGACCCAAGAGGTTCCAGAAGGGCTCGTAAAACTCAACCGGGAGCCCGTCCGGTTCCTGGCACTTGCCTTTTCCCATGCTCTTTCTAGCTGATGTCAGTTCGGTGAGTGTGATCGGGCTTTCCAGTTCTTTCTCTTCTTCTTCGATGGAGAGAATATGTCGCGTCGATCCGAATCCTTATCCGAATCCTTATCCAAAGTTCTCATGTGCCTGTGTTACAGTTGGGGCCTCCAAATCCTTATCCAAGGTGAGGAGGGTCTAGTAAAAGGACGGTACATACTGTAAAAAAATTGATGTGACGTCCTTGCGATTGGGTCATCTATCTTGTTTGAAGGGGGGCAGCATTTCAAACATTAAGGGAGTAGTTAGGTTGCCCCTGTCGGGTTTAAGAGTGCTTTTGTTCATTCTGTCCGCTTCAATTATATATTGGAAGAAGGTGACGAATGGTTCGAAGACACATGGTATGAGGACACTAATCAAGAGAGAACAGTTATTCACATTTTGGAAGTCAGGGAGGACAGGACCTTTCAAGTAGACTAGATGACCCGTTGCAGCTTCGCCCGCAAAAACAGAAAACTAAAAAGCACAAAAGAAAGAAAAAGCATAAGGAACTGCCCTATCATATGCCACTTGTTTCACAAAAACAAAAAGCAGAGCCTGAGAGCATACAGAAATCCGCGTGCAAGAAATAGGAGGGAATACCACCGAACTTTTTTTGTTTCTTATCTGCGAGTGTTTTGTTTGGGAAGCCGCTGCCTTTGCAGCATCGTTTTTCTTTGGTGCTGTGCAA